GGAGAATATATTTACAAATCATATATATAAGGGACTAGTATCCAGACTACATAATCTCATTGCTGGTGAGATTGTAAAATGATACAGCTGCTTTGGAAAAACAGTTTGGCAGTTCCTCAAAATATTAAACATAGAGTTAGCATATGATCCAGCAATTCTCCTAGGTATATGCCCAAAAGAAATGAAAACATATGTCCACACGAAGACTTGTACACAAAAATTCATACCATCTCTATTCATAATAAATAGCCAAAAAGTAGAAACAAGCCAAATGTTCATCAACTGTGGAATCAATAAATAAAATTGGTGCATCTATACAGTGGAATGTTATTTAACCATAAACAGGAGTGAAGTACTGAGACATGCTACATGATGAACCTTGAAAATATTTTGCTAAGGTCATAAAAGGCCACATATTGTGTGATTCCATGTATATAAAATGTCTAGAATAGGCAAATCTATAGAGACGGAAAGTAGATTAGTCTTTGCCTAGAGCTGGGGGTGGAGGGGTGAAGGGATATGGGGTTGAATATCCCTTTCCTGAAATGCTTGGGGTCAGAAGTGTTTTGGATTTTGAAATTTTTCAGATTTTGGAATATTCGCATATATATATCAGTAATATCCCCATCTTGGGGATGGGACCCAGGTCTAAACATGAAGTTCATTATGTTTCATATACTACATCACCTGAAGATAATTTTATAGGATATTGTTAACTATATATGCAAGCTATTGCATGAGGTCGGGGTGGAATTTTCCACTTGTGGCATCATGCTGGCACTCAAAAAGTTTCAGATTTTGGAGCATTTTGGATTTCAGATATTCAGATTAGGGATGCTCAACCTGTATCTCCATTGCCTAGCACAGGTCCTGGAACTTTATAGCCACCCAAATATTCATGGAGCTGAAATGACAGCAGTATTGCAATTAGTTTAAAAGGGAAAAGTTAGCCAGTAATTATCTTCCAAGACTCAGGGCTTCCTCTACCCTCTTTCCTTTGCTCATCCTATATACATGTCATAACAATGGTAGTATCAGCTTTGCTACTTACAAAGCCTTCTCTAATACTTTAACTCATTTAAATTGGAAAGCGACCTTGTGAGATTAATATGATTGTTAAACCATTTTACAGAGAAGGAAACTGACTCAGAAAGTTTAAGTAACTTGACTCAGATCACCCTGGGACATTGCCAGAGTTGAAAGCCAGGGCCTTGCCCCTGGACTACAGCCCCTCACCGTCACACGTCCATAATAAGGTTGCTGACTGCTGGCTGCATGCCTGAATCACAGAGAAGGCCACCTACAGGTAGTTTACAAGTCTCTGAGCATGTCTCACTGCAAAGTCAAAGAGAAATTACCCTTTTGGTTGCCTTTTGTATTATATGTAGACACTTCTCTGGGTAGAGCAGTCAATAATTAAAACCATTTGTAGAGGCATAAAAGAAAAGTCAGTCAGTTTTTCTCAGTCCCTGTGTTTTGTTGCAAATAGATCTCTAAAGATAAGAAAAATTAATTCTTATGATCAGATCTGGTTCATGCTGTGCCCATGATTTTATTCATTTTGTTCTGAGGAAACGAGTAATAAGCCTGTTTGCTTACTATCCCCTGTGGTTGAGCTAGTTCTGCTGCACAGCAGTTAGAGAAATTCAATTCAGCAGACACTTATTGCTGTGTCTTCCATGTGCCAGTACACAGGGAGCTGGGAATACAGAGATAAATAAGCCCCAGTCCTTGTTCTCAGGGAGCCCCGAGTATTTTCTAGGTCCTTTAACCATGGCATGTAATTATTCTTTTAGAGGGAGGATTTGGATTAGTTTGCTTTTATATTTTGGTAAAGTACAGTCCTCCTCTCAGGAAGTTACTGTCTAAAATATAGGAACTTTTTGTCTGTGGAGCATACAGAAAGAGAAGAAGTGACACAAATATTTAGAACTCTACGTAATACAAACCGATCTTTCATTTCAAGGCCAGCCCTGTTAGTTTCAGAGGTTGATGACATTTTGTCCCTTCAAAGATTAGAATAGAGTCCATTTGTAGGCTCTCAATAAAAGCATAAGGATTCACACAACTGAAAGTCAACTCAGCCCCCACTCCATTCACATTTGTCAAGTCATCATCTCTGTGCATACCATGTATTTATTTTAAAATGCTGGAAAGTAATATGCAAACATTATAGAATTGAGGGAAATGGAAGGACATTACAAAGTAGAGTAAAATAGTCACCTACAATGTCACTACCCTGATACTGAGAGGCAGTTGGACCTTGGGCAAATTATCTTTGCATCTCCATGTCCTCATTTGTAAAACTGGGAATAATGGTACCTATTTTATGGGGCTTTGCCGGGACTAAATGAGATAGCAAATTAAAGCGCACACACAAAAATCCACAATAAATGTGTATTGTATTAGAACAAAATAAGCATTCTTATATAGTCCCTTTGTCTTGTTTTTTTCTGTTTTTTTACAAAGTTTTTTTGTTATAATTTTATATCCTCATTTCTTATTGCACATTATTATGTGATCACTTTCCATCTTGCTGTGTGCGATCATTTTAATTTTTAATGGTTGCACACTGTTCCTAATAGGGTATGGATGTGCCATCAAAGCTTATCCATTCCCCTGTTGTTGAACATTTGTGTTGCTTCCAATATTTCAGTATTATAAGTAGAGCTTCAATGAATAGTGTTTTATATATGGTATATTTTCACTTCTTGGGAAAGCTTAAGTGGGTTTCTTAATCTCTATGTCTTTGTTGCCTTGTATGCTAAATGGGGATAGAATCGTATCTGCCTAGGAAGAGAGCTATGTGAATTAAAATTTGAAGCTGTACCACAAAGCACTTGCAACAGTGCCTTGCACTCACCAAATGATCAATAAACATTACCTCTTCTTTTTTTTTTTTTTTTTTTTGAGACAGGGTCTTGCTCTGTTACCTGGGCTAGAGTGCAGTGGTGTCATCATAGCTCACTGCAACCTTAAACTGGGCTCAATTGATCCTCCTGCCCCAGTCTCCCAAGTAGCTAAGATTACAGGCCTGCACCACCTTGCCTGGCTAATTTTTTCTATTTTTAGTAGAGACAGGGTCTCGCTTTTGCTCAGGCTGATCTCAAACTCCTGACCTCAAGCAATCCTTCTGCCTCAGCCTCTCAGAATGCTAAGATTACAGGCGTGAGCCATTGCGCCCGGCCTCTTTCCCTTATAAAATAATAGTGAGAAAACAAGTTCATCCATATTTGAGCAGCTGGTTATGACGAGGACTCACTTCTGCTCACTCATCTGAACAGTCAGACCTCATCTACACCAAGGTCAGTTTCCAGAGACTGTTTGGAAGTCTGTTTTTCTTAAGCTTGCAGTCCCCAGCTGCATTCTACCAAATTGTAGACTAAGTTGGTCTTGTGAAGCTTAAAAACGCAGCATATTTTATTCCTTACTGAGTGAAGCTCATACTATTGGGCATCTTTGTATTTTTACTTTTTCCAGGACAAGCCAACTGTTTGCTCTAGGAAAATCTGTTGTGTCAGGTAGTGACCTCTATGATTGCATGCCCCCTCCAGAGAAGAGAAACTGGCAAGGGTACCCATATGACCTGGTTTGCTCAGTTTATACTTGTCCTAGTATGATTACTCACAGTGCTGCCTTCACCCTCAAAAGTGACCTAGTTTGAATGGTTAATTATGTCGTCATCCTGTTGCCAGGGGATTCCTCAGCAGCTGGGTTGTCTGCCGACACTTGCCGCCTCTCTGCTCCCTTGAATGACTTGCTGTCTGTCCAGCAAAGGTTTCAGCCGAGTTGCTTTCACTTACTCTTTTTTTTTTTTTTTTTTTTTTTTTGAGACAGAGTCTCACTCTTTTGCCCGGGTTAGAGTGAGTGCCGTGGCGTCAGCCTAGCTCACAGCAACCTCAAACTCCTGGGCTCAAGCGATCCTCCTGCCTCAGCCTCCCGAGTAGCTGGGACTACAGGCATGCGCCACCATGCCCGGCTAATTTTTCTGTATATTTTTAGTTGTCCAATTAATTTCTTTCTATTTTTAGTAGAGACGGGGTCTCGCTCTTGCTCAGGCTGGTCTCGAACTCCTGAGCTCAAACAATCCGCCCACCTCGGCCTCCCAGAGAGCTAGGATTACAGGCGCGAGCCGCTTTCACTTACTCTTAACCTGGAAAGCTCTCCCACGTGTATCTGGCCTCTTTGGATTCGCCTTAGCCCAGCAGGCATTCGCTCAAATGTGCCCATTTTATCACTCCTTTTTCCTCCATCTTGCTCATAATGGGCAATGGCATAGACAAGGCACTTTTCATTTGTTTTAAAAGTGCTTTTGTTGCTTCTAGATGAATAATGGAAGAAAAAATTGCTTTTGTCCTTTGGAATTATTTGTTTTGCAGCTCAGTTCATCCCATAGGCAAATGTAACATTCCTCATTTCTCACCACTGGCAATTTAAAAAAATTATATCTGCTGTCAATTTCATCTTAAATGCAAACCTTTTATTAATAGGACTTTAAGCCTTATCTTGCCCTTGTCAAGTAAAATAGGGTTAATTATATTAATAAAGCACTTAAAAGTCCTTACGTAATCACAGCAGACAGGTCAACGATGAGTAAGCAATGGCAAGGACGAGTCTACAGTGATAGTACACAGCTCCTGTCTCCATGATTGACCACAGGCAGAGTTTTGCTCATAAGATGAAAGTCTGTAAGTACAGAAGCTTCTGCATTGGAAAACAAAAGCAAGTCAGCTTGTCGCTCAGGATGACCTTGTGTACTTAGGTAACTATATTTTAACTGGCATAAAGGGCTTTGCGATTTGAGAGACTCTCTTTCCCCCAAACAAGTGCTTATGTTCCTTCGGTGGTAATGTGTCCACGTTTTAAGGAGGAAAAGCAAGTGTTTTGATGAGGGATCCTGCCAGGTTGAACCAGTGCAGTGTCAGTGTGGGAACTGTAGTTCATAGGTCAGACTGTGGATTCTCAGTGGAAGATTTGTTTTTCTGTTTGTTTTAACTTAGGTGACTTTCGGATGGTTGTCGGAGAGGATAAGACAAAAGTGTTGAATATTGTGAAGCCCAACATAGCCCACTTTCGGGAACTATATGGCAGCATCCTACAGGAGAACCCCCAAGTGGTGTATAAAACCCAGCAAGGCCGACTGGAGGTAAACTGTATGTGGAAAATATCTTCCATTGTTTCTAAGGCAAGAGTCATTTGCAGGAAGAAAGTAAGGGGTAGAACAGTATGACTAGTGTAATAACATTTTTGTTTTAAAAGGTAAGTACTGTATGTAAACATAAGCTTCTGTATATTTGGAGTAATGCCAAAAGGTAACACCGAGACAAGTAAGAGGGGTCGCCTCTGGAGAAGAGAACTGGGGGCAGAAGTAGGAGAGAGATTTGTTTTCACCATGTATTGATGTCTTATTTGCCACTTGAAATTCTCACTGTATGTATTAATTACCAATAAAAACAAGTGAGAATAAACTCTCAGATTGCTTTGGTTCCATCTGTCTGATCCCATTAGCCATCCCCAGGCCCATTTGCCTCCCCAGAGGTAGCCACACTGATGTTTTGTGTCTGTTCTTCCAGATCTTTTTGCGTGCCTTTTTGTGTATATTTATACATATACACATGTATAAGGAGGTTTGGTCTTATTGGTTTTGCTATATGTAAATGGACTCCTACTTATACATATTATTTTGAAGTTTGCTTTTTGCCACTTGTTATGTTTATTATATCTTGGGACTTTTTGATATATCAAATAAGACTTTCTTATCAAGGTATTTTTTTT